TTTTTATATGTTGTTCACCGCCGCGAGTCGCCCTAGGGCTGAGAGCGGCGGTCAATAAATGCACCAAATAAAATAAATAAATAAAATGAGTAGTTTGTAAGTCGGGTGTTTGTAACTCGGGGACTGCTTGTATTTGCTTTGCGTTTATTGGATAAATGCTTCTGAAGGTTTTCAAAGAGCAGCAATTCTCAATTCCTTCCCCTCTTGTACAATCCCACGGCGCACATTGGTTTGTCCGTGACTGGTAGGAAAAATGGAATGAGCTTTGTTGATTTTATTCATCAGCACAGAAAGAGTTTGAAGCTAGTTGCTCACAAAGAAGTTTAATTCATTTATTACCTGTGCACAAGAGAAATAACTACCAATAAAAACCCAAAAGATATACAGTATTTTTACATGGTGGTTAAAAGTAATTAGAGTATCACATGACAGTGTCAGTGAAAATATGCGCCCAATTACAAATCATAATGCAAGTCAGAATCTCAAAGGGATAAAGCTTGAAGAGCTTTGAGGCAAAAGCAGTTTTAGAGCAAACGTCTGGGCTTTCTGAATCGGCACAAAGATGAAGGTAATTTACAATCAATCCTTGTGAATATTGAAACAATGTTACAATGCAGGTTTCTGTACAGTTGTCAAGATTAGATCAGATCAGCAATCCTAGTATTTTAAAAGAATTTGCCAAAGCACTTCTGCTAAGAGATGCTTGCTAAAGATGCTGTAAGATTCTACTACACTGGAGTTGTTTTATATTTCATTTATTCTGTTTTTGAGATGTTTTATTATTCTGCCATGAAAAAGTTGCTTGGAAAATAAACTGCTTCCATGTGTATATACTTGAGATAAAAGAGCAAGAATAGGAGCTAAATCAAGTGGTATAAATCTTACAGCATTTCGCTAGCAAGAGAGACATGCCAAGTCACAATAAGCAATATGTACCCACAAATCATAGCTTCAATTAGTATCCTCTTTAATTTGTATTCTACATAAATTACTATCGAAGGCTAATGTTTAAGAAGCAACTAAATTGGACAGTTGAAGGTCAGATAAAACCTGGTCACCCAACTGCGGAAGCAGATTTCCTTTAAAAAAGAATCACAATAAATGCAGAATGAAGAAGTGTTTGATGCATGCAACAACCAAGTGAAAAGCATTGATTCCCACTGTTCGAAGAAAACTACCGCACTCCACCTTAATGCATCAGACTGGGTTTAGTTAGAACAAGACAATTCCCAAGAGTCAGAATGAAATAAAGCTGGTATTTTAAAGATTTAAGAGCTGTTATCAAAAATAAATTACATTTTTCAAGTTTCAGAAATGTTGCTATGATGGTTGGGAACCCAGTAGCCTTTCAATGGCTGCATTGATATCACCTCCTGTTGCTATTAGAGCTTGTAGGTTTGCTTCGCGGTTCAAGAAGCCCATTGCACTGAGCTGCTCCAGTTGCTGCTGAAATCGGACCTCTGGGTTTTGTAGTTGCTAAAGACAAAACATAATCTATGTTATACACCTATGCCCATGGACAAAAAAAAAAACCCAAGAAAAAGGTGTTCTTTTCAATCTTTCTACTTCTTGAAAATAATACTCTATTATTTTTCTAAACTTAAGAATGCCTGTTCTCAAACCATGGCCTCAACAAGACAGTGACTATGAAGATTTTTTTCCCGTGTCAGGAGCAGCTTGAGAAACTGCAAGTTGCTTCTGGTGTGAGAGAACTGTCTGCAAGGACATTGCTCAGGGAACGCCTGGATGTTTTGATGTTTTACCATCCTTGTGGGGCGCTTCTCTCACGTCTCCACATGGGGGGCTGGAGCTGATGGAGAGCGCTCAACCTGCTCTCCCTAGATTCCATCCTTTGGCCTGTCGATCAGCAATCCTGCCGGCACAAGGGTTTAACCAATTGTGCCACTGGGGGTTCCTATTACAAAGGTAGGAAGACTGAAGACTGAAGACAGCTTCCTCTATTCTGAGTACATGGAAAGAGTAACTAATTGAACAGTTGAAGGTCAGATAAAACCTGGTCACCCAACTGCAGATGATGGTTGTTATTATTGAGGCTGTATTCTTCCTAGAGTTAAAGTGTTTAGCTGAAGGTCTTCAATTTTGCCTTTATATTTTAAATTTAGAAACTGATTTGCTAGAAAGAAAAAACAATAACTTCATCTCACGAAATAGGGATCAGTCACTTCCAGAAAGTAGTCAAAGACCTAGCATACTTTGGACCTCTTCCCAGGAAAAGGTCACACTACACAGGACAATAATTTGAGAAAAGATTTTTCTTTTGACATTGGAGCTTTTCCATGATGGAATGGAACCGCTGGAGATCAACCAAAGCATAGAGCAATCAGTTATTTTATTGTACCTGAGCATTTGCCCCAGCAAGTGCTTGCAACATCTGTTGAACAAATTGCTGCTGTCCAGTTTCACCAGTTCCTGATGCTGGAGTTGCATTTTCACTTGGGACGGAAGTGGGTGCTGTGGTTCCAGTAGGAATGCTGGTGCTCCCCAATCCAGCACTTCCTAAACCAGAATTTCCCAAACCTGCTAAACCAGCATTGAATCTATAGAAAAGAGGGAAAAGGTTAAGGTGGCTTACATGGCAGTGAATACATGAAGAACCTTGTCTTGGTTCTTCAAAAACAAAAACAATAAAAAAAACCCATTAATTAAGAACTATGCGTGTAACAGAAATAAAGACCACTCAGAAAGGACACATTACAAGAAACACCCTACCACTTTTTAGTCATCTGAGTTAATACATATGGCAGCCGATCAAATGTTCATAGTCTCTGCGACAGTTTCATGATTTATGATCCAACTACAATAAATTGCCAATTTCTTACCCAGGTATAAGTCCTGGCGCTTCTGTTGCTAGAGTCTGTAAACCTTGCTGAATCTGTAGCAAAGCTTGCATAGCCCTGGGGTTCGACATGGCAGAGAGCGTGTCTGGATTTTGCATCTACCAAGAGAAAGAAAGCCATGATGTGTCAAACTTGTACACACTGAAAGGATTAATTTAGGATCACTTGAAACTTTATTCCTTTTGTCTACCAAAATTTCCCTTCAATGCTACACATAAAACGAATTGAAATTTGAGGGAACATAAAAAGCCTCCCCAATTCTAGAAGTTTGTGGCTTTTTCAAGACATAAGCTTTCTGCATGGTTTTCAGGGTCAATGCACCCATCCTGAATGTGTATGTGTGCCTGCAAATCCATGCTAATAATGTAGCTTCCACAATGATTTAGAGCTGTGGGCTAAAACATATACGATGGCTGGACAGGACAGAAAAAGCAACCAATTGTATAAATCAGTGGTTCCCAAACTTATTTGGCCTACCCCCTGGATATCATTTTTTCTAAATCTTCTCTTCTTTCTTTTATGCTTTCACTGCCCCCTTACAGTTATTCATCGCCCCCAAATGCACCTGTGGCCATTACCGCCCCTCCCCCATTGCTGCAGCACCCACCAGGGGGCGGTAACGCCCACTTTGGGAATCACTGGTATAAATGATATAGATGTTCTGGAAATGTTTTGTGGAGTTAATAATAGGATGATTCAGATAAATGAATCCAACTATTTTCTTTGGTGACAGATCAGTCTCCAGGTGAATGACTCATTGAACTTTTAGACAAAGGAAGTGATGTTCTGTGACAATATTGTTATTTTGGCTTACTTGCTGAATGAAAGTTGGAATTTGTTGTCTCATTTGTTCTTGGAGCTGAGGATTCCCAGCAAATAAAGGATTATTCAGCATCATCTACCAAAAAGGAAGTACACATTTTGTCACTACAGAGCTGCAGAACATTTCTAAAATAACTGGAGGCCATGCCATCTTCATAAATTATTTCCAAAAAACCAAATACCTATAGAAGAAATCTAGACAAAGCAATTATTGGGGCCAGACTGTTTGGATGTTATTAATGCAGTTTTGCCCAATCCATATTTCTAACAACCTAAAGTATCATGATGGGAGACGGAGAAGTGACAAAGTAGATCTCGTTCTGATATGAACTTGTGATGACTTTAAATAATTGCTCCTGCTGGTCCAGATCAGAAAACCTCCTTCTGCCTGCTTTACAATGTGAACTCCGGAGCCCATAACAGACCAAGCATGAGGAGGGTGCTGATTCCAACCAGAACTACAGGATTTTTTAGCGGGGTACAAATAAAGGTTTATTATTATTATTAATATTAATAATAATAATAATAATGTTGCTTTTGTAAGGTTGTCCTGAGTCCCCTTCAGAGTTGAGAAAAGCAGGATATAAGCAGAGATTATCTCTGTAGACAGAGATGAAATAGAAATATTGGAAAGGGCAGCAAGCAAGAACAGGCTAAAAACAAAACCAAAACTGGAAGCAACAGAACAAACAAGTTACAGGTCATTAGACTTTGTACAATTCAAAACAGATAAAATTTTTCTGACTTCACCAGGTGCTCAAAGAAGCAGCTTGGCATCCCAATTCAAGATGGACTTCCAGACTCACCTGTGCAGCAAGATCAGGGTTCTGGCTCAATGACTGCATCATGCTTCTCATGTAGGGGGCAGACAACATGTTCTGCATCAACTGTGGGTTTTCTGTTATTTGCTGCATCAAGCTTTGCATTCCAGGTGTGCTGAACATTCCAGCTTTAAAGAGTAAGAGCCAAGTGTCAGCAATTCAGCAATCTGGCACCACAGGTCATGGATTAGTACTATGTCACTATCAACAATGATGCAGACATTCAATTCAAGAACAGAAGGAAAACAAGTCCTAGTGACCATACTGATTTTAGTGAGTAACATGTCTTTAAAAATGTACTGAATCCACAAATACAAATTAGTTCAAGTCCAAAGGGAAAAGAGAAGTAATGTCTGCTTCCTTAAGGACCACCTCTGCACCGTGAACTTACATCCTAGGCCAGGTCCCAGGTTTGGTGCTGTTGCGCTCTGCCCTGTGCTTGTTGTGGTGCTACTCCCAGCATTGGAGCCTCCGCTGGTGTTGTCGCCACTGTTGCTTCCGCTGCCCGGGGAGCTCTGTGTGCCGGACTGAGGAGCCCAAGGGTTTGGCAGAGGGTCTCGGTTTTCTGTGCGTGACGGCTGGCTGTCCCCACCTGATGTTGAATTGCTGACTAGTGAAGCAAATGGATTGCCTCCAAACTATAGAAGAAAAATGTTCATCAATAAACAGCAACTTCTACTTTAAAAAAATGTGTTAAAGCCGTGGCTAAGATGTACTTTAAATTTTCATGATGGCACTGAAGAAAGTCCCCACCAACCTGTTGCTCTCCAAATTCTGCAGTGCTGATAGTCAAGATCAGTGGTTCCCAAACTGTGTTCTGAGAAATCTGAGCATGGTAAGGGTTCCACGAAAAATCTTCAAAATCTAATTTAAAATGGATTTTAACCACACAGAAAGACCATGAGACCACCTACTGATTGCCTCTAATATAAAGGAAGGGAGAGTGCAGATTATTTCCAAACATCTACTCGCCAACAGAAGTAACGTTATCACAGTCTGGCATCTCAGACCTGCACAATCTCGCCAGGGAAAGTGCATGGAAGTTCTGAGAGTTCTTCCTGCACATACCAGAGAACTCTTGGCTTTTCCTGCAACATCCCAAAGGTTCTTTTTTAAAAAAAAAAATGCTAGCATACAACTACTCCCTTTTTCAGTTCAGGGTAATCTCATACTTGCTCCATATTTTCTCATTAATTCCAAACCTATGTTTTACAAAACATTCAAACAATAGGAGCAAATGAAAGAAGGAAGAACTTTGTGGGTTCACAAAACCTAGAAAAACCAGGAATAAAGTTAGGGGAACATGTCTTCTGAAGAGTTCTATGACAAACGTTTGGGAACCACTGGTCAAGATTAAGAATCCAAACCACAGTAGAAACAAACAGCACTTACTCCTTTTGCTCAGACTCCTCTATCTAGTGAAAGCCATATTTCTGCCTCTCATTAAGTTTTCTCTCTTGCAAGTGTGGCTTAAGTGAAGTGCCCACCTTTATATAGTCAAAAGATATATGTCAGTAGAAAAGTAGGCATCTATAACCAAAATATTAAGCAAGATGCCCCATCATTTTTAAAGAATTTAGGGGAATGGGTTTTTAAAGTATCATGTTATACTCAACAGCGATGACTGCATCATGGAACAAACTTAACAATCCAATTCAACATTATATATACATATATTTTCTCTTAGAACTAAAGTAGATCTGATGCTGAGGACACCAAAGTTGTGACAGTTCTCCCATTGCATTATATTGGTTCAAGCTAGCACAAGCAGGATGCTAACACAACATAATTTTGTTCTGGCACTAACACAAGTGTGTACCTTGTGATACCAAAATGTAAGTTTTACCACTCTAGATATTTCTTCAGAACTGCTAAAACCAACACTCACCTGCTCCTGGGCGGCATTCAGCATTGGCTCCTGTATGTCCGTGTACATGCGTCGCAAAGCATTATAGCCACCAGGTATACTTTCAAGGTTGCTCAAGGCACGGTCTTGGTTTCTCATCATTTCTTGCATCATTGCAGGGTTTCTAGCAAGCTCTAAAGTCTGAGAAGTTAACAAGTCATTATTAAAAGTATAGCTCTCTTGAAAAGTCACCAGACAACTACTTTGGGTGTCCTCAAAGCCACACAACATAGAACGGACTAATTTTTTGTAACTTTAATATACTCTCCCTTTCTGAAAGGCTTGTCTGTTGCAAAAGCATTATTCCATGCAGAGTTGCCCATTCTCCATGGGTTCATTCAAGTCCTAAACATCCTTGAATGAACTGAACTAACTGCATAGATCTTTGGATCCTCAATACCTACAGTTTACATTACCGGGGGGGGGGGGGGGGGGGGGGGGATGGGACGGGACTGAATCCACTAGTAGATACTTGACAGATGCAATTTTTTGCATAGTAGTTGTATTTAGACATAGTAGTTGTATTTAGACAACAGTCCTATGTACAAGAACACTGCAGCCACATCCCTCTCTCTTAGTAGTATTAAGTCATAATTCCTTACTACATCTGGACATGGAAGGCCGACTTAATGTTGCCTAATATACCAAAATAAATTACAATCAAAGTCAAAAAGAGAAAAAGGTATGGCTGCCACAGCACTTGGCCAATATCTCAGAAACCTTATGATACCTGGGACAATTATCTGATTGCAGTCAATATAATGGATGTTGGTTGAGAGCATGTGTCAAGAAAAACCCAAATTCAGTGCATGGGATCTCCACTTACAAAATCTCAGTACACATAGAAAAGGCTTCTCTTTGAGAACTTGGGAAAATTGTTGGAGCTCACAATAACTTTGTGAGAGGTGATCAATAGCTTGACTTAGGGCCGCTTCATATATTCATATAGTCACGTGGTAAAAACAAGGCTAGTTAAGTACAATGTATGAAACAAGGTAGAAGATTGTTTGAAAAAACACTAAGTTTAGGAATTTGATTAGAAGATGCGGAAATGATGCTGTTTTAAACCAATGACTTACCTGTCTCATTATATCTGGATTATTAAGCATATGACTGATCTCTGGATTTCGCTGTATCAACTGCTGCATCTGAGGGTTAGCCATAATTAATTGTCTCATTAGATCTGGATTTGAAAGCATACTTTGAACGAAGGGATTTTCCATAATTTGAACCATCATCTCTGGATTAGACATGAGCTGTCTCTGCATTTGACTCTGTAATTCTGAGAAGTTTGAGGTATTCAGGCCAAGGCTACTCAAACTTGCAAGTCCTCCAAGGCCACCTTTGGGGAACAATGAGAAGAGGATTACTATTTTCAGTATGCTTCTAGATCAGTTTCCATTTGGGTGTGGAGGGGTTTTTTTAGTGCAAGACAACTAAACATGTCCAGGCTTTCCTATAATAACAACTGATCACACCAAGACCTTTGAAAGGTGTATATCCCAAATCAAATTCAAGTGATATCCAATCATTTCTAACACAAGCTCTCACTCTAATAAACATGCTGAAGACCAGCCCAGATAGCACTGTGACCATCCTCTCTCAATATTTTAGTAATACTCTTCTCCTAAATATGTTATTTACAAAATAGTTTAACCAGAACTAATTCAAAGACTGCAATGGGAAAAGAGTTTCACAATGAAGTTTCCTTTCTTTATCATAGTAGATGGCACTAAGATTTAGGTAGTCACATATAAAGACACCCAACAGAGCAACTTTCTGGATGCCTTTAATAACAGTTTAATAAACTATGTCTTAATAGACTAACACAAACATGGTGCCATCATTTGTTTTCTTCTCTTGTATCATAGTTCAATCCAAAATATATGAAGAAACCCAACCAAAACATCCACACGCAACCAATGAAAATTTATTAAAACATTTTTAAAACTATGGATTTGGTAGATCTCACTCTAGTTGGGGCTAACAATTGGATTTATCCACTGGCTGCCATCCAACTAAAAACTGTATTAATCCTTATGAACAGGTTTTTTTGTACCTTAGACCTTTGGTACTTAAAAGCTTTTTCCACAAGAGGCCACATCTCAAGGCTGTGCCTAATTCCAGAAATACATTGTACAGTAAGAAAACTCGAGATTTCTTCTACAACAGAAGCTGCAACTGTCAAACAATTTTCCCCAAAATCATATGCAAATTGCTCATTTTTAAAAAACCTTTGATTGAGGGTTTACAGCCTATGTCTGATCAAGGCTCAAAAATGGACAAGGCTTCCAGGGGGTCCTGAAGTACAGCTCCCTTCTTCTCTACAAGTTCCTATTTAACATCTACATGTTCTTCCTGAGTGAAAAAGACTCACCAAATATCCTGATTCTGAAGAAGAGGTTCAGGAAAGGGCAATTTGGAAAATGGAATATAAGTGTAAATAGCAGTTGGGAAAACGTAGGAACAATAAGGCTGCCTAACCAAGGAAGGAAAAGGAAGCCTCCCCCTCTTGGCAGGATTTGCTGAAGCTCATGCCTTTCCATCAGGAGATGCTAACACAATCACTGGTGAAGCTTTTTCCCAAAAGGTAAGGGGGAAAGCAAAAGTAAACTTCTGGGTTTTTAAGGAGGCATTTAATCCAGACCAGAGTATGGATTTAAGAGATCAGGTGGGTGTGTAAACTGTCTTTCATCTTTCCCTGTTCTTCTGTCATTCCTGTGGAGACAATTCTCACAAACACTGGATCTTTTAAATCCATAATCCGATCCGGATTAAATGACTGCATGGAAGCAGTCCTTGTGTATCCATACAAGTCCTCCACAAAAACAAAGGTTTAAATTACGTATAATGTCAATGTGTCCAACAGTCTCTTCTTCAAGTAGTTGTAATGGATGATGGCATTACTGGCGCAGGTGACAGAACTAGCATGATCCCTTTTTTTTGCATGTTTATTTCTTTAAGAATGCCTGTATAAGGGGAATAATCATGCAGTACCTAACACAGTACCATGAAACTGAATCAGAGCTTAATCAGGAAATACTCCCATCATTCTCTAAAAGAACAGTGATGAATGGTACACCAGACCTCTACAGTTTCTTACTGCATACAGTAAGATGAAGCTCTGTTCAATTTCATACTTGCAAATTAGAAAGAAACAATGCTCTTATAAAATATACCAAAATATAATGCATATAAACTAAGACAAACAGGTGCCAAGATGTAGGTCTTAACCTTTTGAAAAATATTAGGAAAAAAAGTTTCCAGATAAACTTTCCAGTGGCAAGAAGCCTTACCCAAGCCAAAAGGGCTGGTGTTTGTTGAATTTGTAGATGTACTACTGGTAGATGTTGTTGTTGTAGCAGTACTCCCTGCAGTGCTTGATTGCTGGGCAGAATTATCATGTGATCTATTAAAAAACAGTACACACATTAAGATGCAGATGAGTAAGCTAATTTACAATTATCTTTTAGAAATACACATCAGGAATTCATCCTCTAGTAGTTAGTTACACTTGCCACAAAAATGAAAGCAAGAGCACCAAAATGTACTTCAACTTTAACTGGATAAGTTGCCCTGTCAAGTATGTGAGGAGATCCAAGTGCCAGTAGTACAGGACTGAATAGATGCTTATATAATGACACAATCACACCTACACTTTCACAATTGTTAAGCCTATCCTGGCACAGAAAATCTGGAACCAATTCAACCATGATCACAGTTTTCCTAATGTGCAAGCATCTGTAAACGGATTTAATATACTGTATTTCTCTTGATTCAAAGACGTCATTAACTGTAAGATGCACACTAATTTCAATACCATCAGAAGAGGAAAAAATATTTATTTACATATATAAAAAGCCACCACAATTCTAAGGTGCAGCCCATTTTATGGGGTAAAGTGTGTCTCAGAATCAGGGAAATAACATTCAGTAATTGTTAAGTTAAACCTCTCCCTTTCTTGCTCTAATACAATTTTCATATGTGGGAGTTTTAAGATCAGAGAAAACAAGTTATTATTCCACTGTGATGGACCAAGATTAGTTAGTTAGGCGATCCCTTGCTTTCCGAGGATGATTGTCTTTCAATATTCTTGTGGGTCCGTATGTGGCTGTGGAGCCTTATTCTTGCTCTGCATCTTCTTCCGCAGTGAGGGCATTGATTTCCAGGTGGAAGGCGGTCTCGGTCGGGGTTGGCTTGACGCGCCTTCCTCTTGGCACGTTTCTCTTTTTCGCCCTCCACTCGTGCCTCCTCAAATTCTGCAGCACTGCTGGTCACAGCTGACCTCCAGCTGGAGCGGTCAAGGGCCAGGGCTTCCCAGTTCTCAGTGTCTATGCCAGAGTTTTTAAGGTTGGCTTTGAGCCCATCTTTAAATCTCATTTCCTGTCCTCCAACATTCTGTTTTCCGTTCTTGAGTTTGGAGTAGAGGACCAAGATAATGCTATAATATCACAGTACTGTACTGCTGTATAGCCTTCTACTCAGTTGTCATACTCTAAATCTAATCTACTGTTCAACAAAAGAGTATTACAAGTGCTGGAAATGCCATAACATGATGCAATAGCAAGAAAATACTGCTGTCTTTCCAACCTACTTAGAATGCTATTCTTCTCAACCTACTTAGAAATCTAAGGATTTTTACTCCTGCAGTTCACTTCTAATGCAGAATAAGCAAAGCTTTATAAAAATGAACACAGGATGGCATGCTTCCAAGACTTTTGATTTTTTCCCCCACTTTATTTTATTAGCGATGAGGACACTAAAAAGCCAGATGGTTTTTTTGAAACAGTAGAAATAAGAAGATTTTTCCAGAAGAAAGTTTGGTTACCTTCTATTTCCTAGAGCATAATAAATTTATAAGATAGTCTGTCTTGCAGTCACTCTTTTTAGCAGCAAACTTTTAAATTTTAGTCAAATAATTCATTGTTTGGGTAACACTGATTCTCAGGACAAACCTTGCTAGTCCAATATCAAAGTTCTAAACATTTAATTACTTGGGTCACTGATTTCCCATAAATGCACTTGCCCAACATTCACTTTAGATCTAAATGTCACCCAAAAGACTATTTTCACAAAAAGATTTGTGAAACAAATGCCTTCTTGATGAACAAAACTGAGTTCTGTGATGATATATGCCATATTACTAAGACAAGAAAAACACCTGTACTTTAAAAGAGGGTGAGTTCTTGGTTTTTTGTACAAGTCCAGTACTGACAATGTAAGCCACATTTTAAATTATGTACTATGTTGACCCAATTTGGTTTGACTAAGACTATTACAGATGAAAATAATCATGCATAATAAACAGGCAATCATACCAGTCAGCCTACCTGTTTTGTGTTTTGATGACAAGATGAACAGTAAGTCCGTCATGGATTCCATGCTGAGTCAATGTATCTTGATCTTTTAAAATTTTTCCAGCAAATATCAATACAAGCTGGTCTGTGTGAGCCTTAAAACGCTTGGAGATTTCTTCCTTAAACTAAAAGAAAGTTTGAAAATTTTGTTTATGCAGTTAATTTGTTAATTCCTAAGTAATAGTATAAAAGTTTTATTTTAAGCACACAATTTTGAAAATAATCCAAAATTAAGTAACTGGTCAGAATAGATTTTGGACACAAGGATTAGTAATAAAACTTTAGTGGAGACACCTTTTCCCCATGATAACTTTTTCAGGAATGAATTTCCCTTCCAGAGGTTAGATTTCTCTCACTTCCTGTTACCTCACAATTGTTCTTTATTATGAATCATTTAGACTGCCTGTATACTGTCTATGACACTATAGTATTGAAAATTAAAAACAAAAATAAAGGAGTTATTAAATAAGGAAGGTTCTTTGTGATTTTTGGTCCACCTAGTTCAATCTTTATAACATGTCACTCAGGCCACTTTTACACTGCCATATAATCCAAATTATCAAAGCAAATAATCCACATTATCTGCTTTGAACTGGATTATATGAGCCTATACTGCCATGTAATCCAGTTCAAATCAGATAATCTGGATTTTGCATGGCCGTGTAGAAGGGGCCTTGATTAATAAAGGAAGCAATATATTCCTCTATAAACTGGAAATGCACCCATAGTTTATATAAATTGCACCTTGTTTTTAGCTAGGATGACGTCAGAGAAAACAACGATCAACTGGCATGAACATCTCCATACAACTAACTTCTAGCATTCTATAAAAAAAATCAGAATCTGAAACTAAAGCTCTATGTTAGCCATACATTTAGGTCATTGTCATTGTAAGACTAGGTGCATTCCTAGATTTTGATACAGGGACAGTTCACTCTTACCCACAATACTTGGGAGAGAGCACAGAACTTCAGCAGACCAAAACATTTCATGTGCCCATGTGCAACCAAGCTTTGTAAAATAACAAAAGTAAAGTATGTCACCTATTGCAAGGTATAGATCAGTGGTTCTCAACCCCAGATGTTTTTAGCCTACAACTCCCAGAAATCCCAGCTACTTTATCAGCTGTTAGGATTTCTGGGAGTTGTAGGCCAAAAACATCTGGGGACCCCAGGTTGAGAACCACTGGTATAGATGTATATTGGGTCTGCTAAGTGCTTAGCATACCACATCGAACACTGAAGTGTGTAGAAACATCTAAAGAGTTCACTGACACAGTGGTTACTTCTACTCTTGAACAGCCACACCCTCTGTATGTGGCAATTATATGACATCAAACTGTGGTTCTCTTCTATTTTTTCCAGTCCTTATTCAATTTTTCCAGATGGCAAAGAATCCAAGTTATGCAGAAAGAGTGATCAGTGCTTCAGTCTCTGCTTACTTCAGCTCTACTGACCCATCTTTTAAAATGTGTTGAGACATGTTGGGCAGGCATAGATATCATCACACATTTCCTTTAGCACACCTTTCTTGTTATCTTTCTCGACAATTTAACAAACCTTTTAGTAAAGGGAATATTGGTCTTACCTGTGATACGTTCTTTTCCAGCAGATAGGGGATATTAACCCCTCAGCAAGCTGGGAAATGAACTTTTCACTGCACTGACATGTTTTTCTGCTGATGTGTTTTCAATAAAACTTACTGACAGGGTAATGCAAGTGCTTGTCAATGAAGATGCATTTTAGCACAATTCAGAAACCTATGTAACAAAACATGCTGCCTTTTCTAGTCTTTCTGGTTGATTTTGTTTCAAGAACAAAAACAGTGTTGATCAGGTGCCTTAAAAGACCTTTCAAATGTTTCTGAAATAACTGGACAGGTGTTGTAATACAATTTTTTTTTAAAACAAATGGCTCTCCTGTGTGTTTTGTGCCTTCTCTGTTTATACTATCAGATTCAATAGTGCAATTGGAAAGTAAAGAAAAAAATAACGTTAGTTCTATGACATAGTTCTAATAGTGACACAATAGCTCTTGGGAGTCATCAGTCTGGAAGCAGGCTGTGTGCCAAAGAAATTAGCAGTAGGTGTAAAAGCCACCAACTATTTAGCTGCTAGGAAAACAGCCAAAACCTCTGCTGACCCAAACATCTCATTTTACAGAGCAGAGTAAATAAAAAGAACATTAAAATTTAACTCTAGTAAATGTTTAAAATGTATCACTCTATTAGGTCCGTATGTCATCATTGCATCATGCATTAACCAAACACTGTTTTTTTTTACTGTTGAGATTGCATAAGCAAGCTGTGCCAACTAGTTGCTTATGGAAACTCTTTTCTTTAGTCTTACACTTTCTCCAGCTCTCCTCAATAAGCATTCATTTTAAAGCAGGAATCATCACAAACTCTCTGTTATGGTATGGAAAAATAGACTTTTAAAAAACTGTGCTCTGATCCTGAAATTGTAAGTGCAACATAAGTGATTGAACCTGGTCAATGCACACACTGGCCACTATGGATTGTGACAAAGAGAGTGCTCCCGCATGCAGGATCCTCTACAAAAGGAGCCCTTTCATAATAGGAATGGGTTGTCTTCCACAGCAGCCTCAGAAAAGCAGGATAAAGTCTGTTTTGCAAACTCCTCCTACCTACAAGGATTTATCATTTCCTTTTTCTGTTGGTGTGTTTGAACTCATCTGGGCACTGGCTGTCTTTCCAGCTATAACAGGCACGGACAAACTTTAGCCCTCCAGGTATTTTGGACTTCAACTCCCACAATTCCTAACTGGCTGGGATTGAAGGATCAGAGTTTTCACATGCCTAAGCTACACTTTTGTTACCCTTCTCACTAGGCTTCTCTACCCAAAGATGAGTGTTGCTTTCTCATGTATAGAAGCAAACTATTGGTAGTAGAGTGGTATCTTCTTTTCTTTCTGCAAAGCTAACAGGCAACATAGCTGGATCAACCTTACAATACCATACAGTGTTCTAGTACTTCTGGAGCAACCCAGAACCATTGCCTAAATTCTGAGCTTTGACCATAAGGTTGCAAAAGGTCATGTTGTTGCTCCCTCTAGATTTCTGCAATGGGAAATCTAGCATACCAAAAACTCCTACAGGCACCAGGTAAGATTTTCTTTATATTACTGGAGTAGTCAGAGATTGCACACTGCTGCTATTCCGACTATAAAAGAGTCCAGGAGAGTGAATAGACTGACTTCCACTCTAGCCTCAATGGTGGTATGAAGTTGCCAGTCTGCTCAAACACATTTCTGTCAACAAAGGTCAGACACTTAATGGGGAGGGGAATCAGAAGTTAGACACAGCCAGTATTAAGAATTTTGCCTCTCACTTTGCCCCAAGGGAAACATGCTTTACCACTACCACTTTCCAGAGCACAAGTGGGTACTGCATGGTCCTCCAGATGTTCATAAACAATAACTCTTATCATCCCTTCCCATTTGCTATGTCATTCACTGCTTCTGGCAGGGGCAATACAATAGCAGGAAGGCCACATAATGCCCATCACTCTACCCAAGAAAGGATACAAGTATAAAGGAATGGATAGAAAACAATGGATTTTTAGGGCCGGGAAATTGAAGTAAGACAATTGGGGTAATAAGGAATTCTAAAGGATGAATTGCACATGTCTAAAGATACACCTGCCTTACTTTACCACAGCCCTTCAAACATTAATTATCTAGCAAAGCAAAATATCAAAGAGCAGAGAACAGGCTGCAGATTAGCAGTTAGTGAGGTGCCTCACTCACAAGGAAGCAAAACATTATACAGAAGACAAGAACCTTACTCAAAGTACTGTGACAAGAAACCTCCAGTAAACCATTTCTCGTGATTACAAGACAGCCCTATTTGGCACTCATTCCTAGTATTTTCAACACATATATAAGTGTTTTGAGAAATGTAGCTTTATAAATGTTTACAGATCTAGTGACCCAATTTGGATGACATGATAAGCTAGGGATTTGGAGGAATCATACTTTATCAGTTATGAGCAGCATGCTGATGCCCTCTTCCCAATCAGCCCTCCTTCCACTAGGAAAGTGGGACTTAAGAAAACACAGAGCTTTGCTTAACCTATGAACCAAATAAGGATGAAGAGCCCTCTGAGTTGTTTCTCTCCCAATAAATCAGCAAAAGAACTCAGCATTCTTATTAGGTTTCATTCTTGATTTGTTGGGGGAGAAGAAAACCAGAGGAGGGCTCCCATGTTTGAATAACACACTAAGAAACCATAAAGTGAAGTTTTGGTGAGCTTCTCCTGCAGAAAGCTATCCAAACCCAGGAGTGTGTTTTTTTTTCTCTTGGCTCCTCCAGCGCATTTGGAGGAGCCGAGAAAAAAAAATACTCCTGGGTTTGGATAAGTTCAGATCAGTGGTGGTTTATGGACTCCGTGGGAGCTTGCAGTCGGTTTCCAAAATGCTTTTGTGGGCACTCTTGAGTGAACCAGATCTCTTTGATCCACATCCTGAATTGGAGTAAGTGACTTTATGGATGCCCTCAAAATACATTTTTGATTATTTTTTAACACAGAGACACCTACCTTATCTATACAAAAAGATCTGGCTAAAATCAGAGTGCAAGGGTTTACAAGAAGGAAATACATTCTCTATAATCACAAGGAAGTCAAAGCAAAATGATCTGAGGAAAACTGAGTAGAAAGTACAGCAGCCAGAAAGTCAGCAGTTTTGTTTCCTATTTACCAGCTTTTGTAATGTAGTCTTACTGTTGTGACTGAAATGAAAAGGAACTAAAAATGTTCCACTTCCACTATACCATTTTACTAAAATCTAATCCTCACCTTTCTTGGCTAAATTACCTTCCCAAAATTGGAGTGAACATTAAGATTTCTTTATATAGTAATTTTACTGCTAAGTGAAAGCAAAAGGGGAAGCTATTTCAGAAGCATCTGGTGCTCCTATTTGAGGGATGGCATCTCTAATTTAATTGCCATGGCTCAATGCTATGCAATCCTTAGATTTGCAGTTTGGTGACACATCAGCATTCTTTGGCAGCCCCCATGAAACTAAAACTCCCTTGACTCCACAAACATTGAGCCAGGGCAGTTAAAGTGGATTCATTCTACATCATAGAGGCACCCCAAGGTTGT